ACCCTTTTTGGGGAAGCCTAATGGTTACTGCAAGATTTAGCGTGGATTTTTCCCTATGTTTTGTGATGTGTCTGCTGCAGACAGCGCCTGAAGCCAGTGGCAGTTACCTCTGGGCATATGGTGAGAACAATGAAGATACAGAGGAGCCATGTGACTACACTGGGAATGAGCCTCCAAAATACTACTGCCCTTTGGAGATCTATGAATAATGAGCTGGTTCAGGAAGCCCTCTTACTCCGGATCTTTCTTGGCTGCTTGGCATGTGAATAATAGCATGAGCTTCTAAACAAACTTTCAAAATGGCTGCTGTGTTGCTTGCTGGAGAAGGCCCCCAAACTCCACCATGTGTGAGTGGGTGCACATTGTGTGGAGGCTGGAAGTTGACATCAAGTGTCTTCCTCAGTTTCTCTCCACCTTGATATTTGAGACAAGGTCTTTCACTGAACCTGGTGCTCTACTGATTTCGGTTAGACTGGCTGGCCAGCAAGCCCCATGGATTCTCTAGTCTCTGCCTCCTTAGTGCAGGGATCATGGTCATGTGTTCCTTTGCTCAGCCCTTCAGCTGGGGGGTCTGAATTCAGATCCTCATGCTTGCCTAGCAAGCGCTTTATTGATGGAGTCATCTCTCCAGCCCTAAAGTCCTTAGCAAATGTTACTTGAGTAACATCCTACACATTGTAGATGTAACATTATACACACTATAAAGGCAACATCCTATACCTATAGATGTTTGATTTGGGGTTAACAGATTCCCCCTTCCTGTTTTTGTCTTGCTTTTCTTGCTATTTGTTAAAGAAAAATTGGCCCCACCCCCAGTTCCAATGGGAAGGAAGAGCCCACTGCGGTGTTAATCACTGTCTGCCGGTATGGACAGTCAGAGTTCATGCTGTCACAGGGTGACTCGGGATTATTCATCGGCAGATTGGCTGGCCCTGTCACCAGCAGCAGGGCTCCTCTTTAGACACTGGCCTCACATCCCCGCACCTGCCTTGGTTCCCACAAGAACACGGAAGAGGAAACTTCTGTTCTTCCTTCGAAAGGGGAAGCTTGGCTGGATCCTGGGTGTTTTTAGAGAATCGATTGTTTCTTCTTTCCCAGAAATAGCTCTCTGCGGGCGAGACAGTCAGCGTTGCTCAGGGACTCTCTCAACAGGAAAGTCCCAGTGCTCAGCCTGCAGACGAGGCCTGCAGTCTTAGCTCCCTCACAGGTAGGCATTGCCTGCCTCTTGTAGTAGAGATGGACAGGCGAATGATGTTTTTATTACTGTGTAAACGTTCTCTTTAAAGAGAAGTAAGCTATGAAAAGGCCCCAGTCTTATAAAACTGTATTTCTGGTGAAGGATCTATTGTCCTGAGGATAGTCAACTCCATCCACAAAAATAAAAATAAAATAAAATGAAATAAAAATGATAAAAATGGCAGCTGGTGGCAGCTATACCAGTAAGATTCTATAAACTAGGAAACCCACAGCATAGGCATGGCGGTGCCCCTTGAGGGCACCATTTAGTGCTTCATTCGGCCTAGGCAGGGTTTTCAAGGCTACGTGAAACTGAACTGTAATTTCTGCATGTATCTAGCAGGGGCTACTATTAATTTAAACCAAAGTGTAGGGTCACATAACAATCAGGTTGACTATAGCTCACAGGTTCATGGGGATTAGGCTTCAAGGATAAATTGATCCCGTAGCAACCCTGTGATCTTGTTTTTAATCTCTGTATCCTGAGACTGGTTCCACTAGTCACTACCTGGTGGTTTCTGACAGAACTTGGGTCATGAGCAGGAAAGTCCTGTACCGGAGGCCAGAGCTAAGAGGTGTCTTCCTGGACTAATTTTGGGCATATGTCTATCAAAATGCCCATCAAAGGCAAGGGGATACAGTCCTTTAGGAGTCAGGGCTAGAGTCAGCCGCAGCAGAACACCAAGACTATAGTGGAGAGAAAAGTGGGTATTTGTGGGGAAAGGGAAAGGGTGCTGAGCTTGGTGGGTGGTGCACCCAGCCTCACATGTTGCTATGAAATGGGACAAGCAAAACTTAGGAAGCATCTTCTTTGAAAAAATGTCACCCACGCAGAAGGATTGGAATAAGTCCACACTGAACACTGGCGTACTGACTACCCGGATTCTATAATAAGCATTTCTGTTTTTCATGCATTTGTCTCTCCCTTCCCACTACCCAGTATTCACCTTGTCCTTTGCATTTCAAGGTCAGTTTCACATCATTGAAGTCTATATGTGTTTCAATCTTTTAAAATAAAAGCACACATATAGTGAGATGCCTATGTCCTAAGGACGCCATTCGACATGTTCCATGTATGACATCACTCCAGGGGTCCCCATCTCTGCCTCCCTGCACACCTTTATGTTTTTTTCTTTATAGGAGGGAATCCTAACGCACAAAGTTTGTGCATGTTTTCCTCACTGCATGGCTTCCCTGAGGTTCTCCACATCTTTGTGAATTACAAGTTGTTGTTTGTGACTCAGCAGTATGCAGTAAATCACCTGAGATCCTGGTTCTGTGCACATAAGCCTGAATTTCCAAGGTGAGGGCCAGCTAGCCTCCCAACTCAACTCTTATCTCAAGGGCTGAGAAATCACAGAACACCCCAGGTCCACTACATGGTGAGAGATGGGAAACCAGACTCACTGGGGTTCAGTGAAAGGAAAAGACTTGTTCAGAAAGGTGACAATGATCAAACTCATTCAATCTGTAAGGTCAAGATTTAAAAATGTATAGAAGACGTACAGGAAGACAGACTGAATAAGGATTGCTGTATGAAGTAAAAAATATATAGTTTTGCTTCTAAGCTGCCATGGTGAATGTGTTTGAGAGTTGTTTTATGTTTAGCCCATATGTAACTTTTTACTTAGACAACAACCATGACAGCAGGCAACCTAGGTTGAATTCTTTAGAGGAACTTCTGAGTCCAACCATCACTTTTGGGTCTACGATGACATGGATGGCAGTGACCCCACTCTGCCTAAATGATTTGAGCTCCAAGATGGCAGAACTTGGGCTCACACCTGAAGGAATATCCTTATGACATATTTTCTGGGGTTTACAGGGATGGGCCAGACATCTGAGGCCTTTGGGACAGAGCCTATGGAATTTGAACCATGATTTTCCACAAGAAACTGGCTCAATCCAGTTTAGACAGAAGGCATTGATCAGCAACACATTATTTACGAGCCTCAGCTGAAAGCCCTGCCACATGGCTCTGCCTCGTGGAGACAGTGGTTAGTTCTGCATACCAAACCGTGCTTGAGACTTAACACCCTTCACATGTACAGACAGACTCAGGCAGACACTCAGAGACACAGCCAACCCCCAGTACCACACATGTTCACACGTGGCATGTGTGTACACAAGCACACATTGACACAGACATGTGCATACATACATATATTTCCACATACCCACCTATGATATACACATGGAAACACACACTAATACACAGTGCACACACACATATGTAATCATAGACATGCACAAACAAATATACACACACACCACACACACACACACACACACACACACACACACACATATATAACTGTTCTCTCATACTCTCATCAAAGTACACACATCCATTTACACACATGAAACCACACCTTTATTTACACACAAACATAGACTTATGCAATCATGCATATACACTCCCTAACCCCTAAGGTGGGCCTGGAAGCGAGATCTGGGCAGGTGACCTGATGAAGTGACTCGGCAACGCACTCCTGATTCCCTTTCCCACCTCCTGTAGTTCCCGTTGTCTGAATCCTAGAAGTCATCAAGATAGGGCTACCTATCCTCAGGGGACCACACAAGACGCTGTCCTACTTGGGGTGAACACTCTTCCATGGGATCCCATTGCACTTCTGTGGCAACTCAGAGTTCTGAAGTCACTCTACTGCAGAGATCTCTTGGTTTTGGAAACATGTCAGTCATCACATGTCACCCTCTTCCGTGTGTTTGTAACACCAGAGCTGACACTGTGGAGACTTGCGGGGCCGTGTTTTGTTCACACGTAGGCACTGAAGGACCAGGTGTAGAGATTGCTCCCTACACTGGGGGTAATGATGCAAGGAACCAACATGGGAGGACCTGGAGAGAGTCCTGCCTTCTGGTAGAGAAGAAAGTTGGCAGAAGTGTGTGAGAAGATGCCAGTGAGGGCGGAGGGCTTGGTAGTCATCACATGAACCAAAGGACCCCAGAGTATGGGGGATTTAGAGCTCAGGCCTGGCTTCAAGACTGCTCCTGCACACTCCAGAGCAGGGGGCAGAAGCTGAGCCCAGCTGAGCTGGTGGAAAACTGATGTGTGCTTAGCTCTGACCCCAGCAGGTCTCCATCCCTCTGGTGTCAAGATGTCTGTGCTCTTTCAAGCTCTTAAAGGCCCTAAGCACTATCCCTACCTGGTGGGGTATGTCCCCTTAGGATGAAAACCGAGAAATGGAGCATGGGCTGGCTGACCATTTGAAAACAACTCCATTAAATAGTATCATGAGACACAGAAAATACTCCCAAAGACAGTGGCAAGTAAGTCTCTACCAGCCAGTCCCCGGCCCTCTGGCTTCTCTGCAGACTGTGCACCCTGCTTCTTTGGTTGGGGCAGGGAAGCACACGAAGCATAACTGCGTGGCTTCGGCTGGATCTCCGTGAAGTCTTCTTTGCTATCACACGGCACTGACAAGGGCAGCTTCCTCAGGGCAGCTGTCTGTGGACTCAGAAGCCACACAGAGTCACCTTTTTTCCTGTCCATATCAATGAACACCTCCTGGTCTGACTCATGGACCCACAGGGTCTTCATCCATGTGTGGCTATGACATAGTGGCTCCTTCATTTGGAAAAACTGGTTTCCTGAGTCTCCAGCTGGTGATGCATTTCTTTATGAACTGTCAGTCACATTTAGAATCACTGCCAACTTCCTCGGAAAAAAATGGAACTTTTGGGAAGCTAACAGTAGCAGATACACATTTTCCAAAACTCCATGTTTTACTTGAAAGCTCTCGTCTTTAAAATTTTTTTAATTAAAATTATTGGTATCAGTTCCATACACATACACAGTGCATTATGGTCATTTTTTACTCCCCTCCCCCACCCTTCACAGAACCCGTTCTTCCCGACAATTCTGCTCCCTACTTTTATTCTTTTCTTTCTTTCTTTCTTTTTTTGGCAGTCTGGTGGAGGGAGCCACTGTGGCTATGTGTTTGTGATTGCAACAGCATGCCACATCTGGAGGACAGTGTTCTGTAGCACGCCTCCCCATCCTGCAGCCTTTACAAGCCTTCTGTCTTTTTCATGTGATCTTTCCTGGGTTGGTCGTGTCAGAGGCATTACAGATGTCCTGTTTAGAGCTAAGCACTCAATACTAACTCTAAGCGCTTTGACCAGTTATGAGTCTCTGCAGGAGCTGTTGCCCCGGGTATAAAGAAGCGTCTCTGCTTAAGGCTGAGAGCAGCATGAGTCTGTGAAAGCTCCAGTCCCGTGATGGTTGGTCACTATAGTTTACCTGTCATTGCCGAGGACACAGGAGACTCATCTGCCCAGGATGCATGTCTGAATGGCCAGTGGCATCATTTGTTGGGTGGGAGCACACCATGCGGCCCTTAGAGGTGCCTCTCTAGATCTCTCTGCTGTTTCCGTCATCTGAAGAGGCATCACTTTCCTAGGTAGCCCATTGGAGCAGCCAGGAGAGGTACTAGATGGAAACTTGCATTGTCAATATCCTGGGGCTGTGGCCATCAGCACTACCCCACCCCAGGATGCGTCACCTTCTTCAGGGAATAGGTGGCAGAAAAACATCACAACATCAAGTGCCACGGACAGCGCTGGTCTCTATGGCTCTACTCTGTGGCATCCCTTTAAGACTCTGACCTGGCTGTGTCTCCAGACCAGGAGAGGGCCTGGACTCTCAAATCTTGGTTAGCAGTCAGGAAGATCTGATGGACAGTCTTGCAAAGGCGCAGCTCACGGTTGTTTGTTTATGGCACACGAGGAAAGTTGTTAAACGACACACCCAGGAGAAAACAAGCCAGGCCCCAGCCCAGACTTTCTGGCTCTGGACTGCTGAATATGTTCGTCGAGGTAGAGGGCATTATTCAAGTAGTTTTGACTCTTCGGAGCATTTCTTCTCCCAGAAATGGACATAACATTTTGCAAAAATCGCACAGCCACATCATTCCACCTGCCATGGGTGCTCAGTACCACAGGTAACCATGGTGTCTAGGGAGGAGAGACAAGGAGAGCTGAGCTCCCTGGAGTGGGGCGAAAAGCACTTCAGATCCCAGGAAGCGGCAGGAAGCGCAGTGGCTGGTCGCACCCTAAAGCTAGGACAGCCCTGTCCGGAATCTAGATTGTGTTCTCAGATGACTTCTGAGTTTCTCCTCAAGAGAAAATAAATGTCTGGATTTATGAATGGCTGCTCTGGTCCTTTTGCGAGCTGAGGACCATCTTGGGTGGAAGTGACCACACATTCATCGACTGGGTAAGAATGGTGTAAATAGGCAAGGCCTGGTCCAGTCTAAGGTTAGAAACAGATTCCTCTGGAATCCAGGCTGAACACCAAGTGTAGGAAATGGGCACTGTTTCCTGGGAGCCCAGTCTCTACTGCCAAGGACACAGCTGCCTGGCCAGCCTGTGCCCTGCTTCAGGTCAGGTGTGTCCTAGGGGAATATGGGTTACAAAGCCTGACCCAGAGCGCTGCATGCAAGGAGATCGGGTTAGGAATAGGCATGAGGACAACAGTGTCATCGTGAGCCATCTTCCTCATACGACTCTTCTCATCTTTCTCGGGACAGCGGTGACGGAAACTGGGCTATTTCTGGAACCGTGCACCAAGCATGGCCGGTCATTTCTTTTCAAAGTACGTTTAAATCTCCAATAAAGGGTGCCGTATATGAAGTGGTGCACATTTCCTCATTAATCATGGATCCTGTTGTCACTCCTCTGCTCAGAGAGTGCAAGGTGCCATTTGTCTCTTTGGGAGTGTCAAAGACACTGTGCTTTGGCGTGGTACTGTGATGCGCCAGGTTACAGAACCCTTCCAGGCTGGGGGTTGTCTCAGTCACCAGCATACTCTCCTTGTCACCTCTCTATACTCTCTCTGCTCCCTTTGTGATATTTATGCTGTATTTCTCTGTTAAGAGTTGCTTCCAGCATGGTGCCGCCTCAGCTCATGGCTATGCAGAAGCGCTTGGCCCAGGGGAGTGGTAACTTGCTTGGTGTTGGACTCAGAGGTTCTTGGAAGCGCTCTGAACCAGCAAGCCACCTCAGTGAGTGGTTCCCAGCTCTCCTCTCATCCTTCTGGGAACAGTGTGGCTTTATTTGCAGTCCTGTTACCCCTGAGCACCATCTCCCCAAGCTGAGCTGGTTACCTGTGGTTTGTTTTCTGTCTCTGATGGGTAAGCGAGGAGGACACACAGTACCCTGTATTCAGTAGGATGCCTTGGTCACTGTGCTCACTCTGTGGCCTCCCGAGGGCTTCTTCCATGTCTCTGTGTGCATTCAGATGGCCAGGCCAGAAGTCAGCTTCAAGGTGGAGTTCTGTCTATCCAGATAGGTATGTTAAACAAATGCATCTTCAGTTATGGGCTAAGGACCTGATGGACTCCCTTAAACAGACCCTGCTAAATGACTTGGGATTTGAGTTTTATAGATAGAGCCCATTTCCACTCTCTGAAAATTCTTTGGAGATGGAAAGATGACTCAGAGACTGAGAGCACTTGCTGCTCTTGCAGAGGACCTGGGTTCAGTTCCCAGCACTCATATGGCAGCTTACAACCATCTGTATCTCCAGTTTTGGGGGGTCTGGTGCACTCTTCTGGCATTTGTGAGCACTGCACTCACATGGTGGATTTAATGTAAATGCAGGCAAACACAACCATAAAATAAAAACAAATAAAATTAAAAGAAAAAAAATCTATTCTTTGAAAAAGTATTTCCTCCTGCTTTTCCAATCAAAGCTCATATTTTGGACATATTCCTTGCATTGCCTTAACAAATGTGTAGTTAATGTAGTTGATCTTGACATTGTTCTAAAATATAGGATGGGCTTTGGAGCAAGACACACTTGGATAGGAAGCCCAGCTCTGCAGCTGGGCTTTAGGGAGGAACTTCACTTGAGATCCCCAATGTCTCATCTCAGTTTCCTGAATGCTGTGCAGTGGATGGGGTGATGGCTGTGATGTGCCCAGGAAGTGTTAAGGGCTTCCTCTAGCTTTAATAAATGTTGGCTCCCTTTGAAGCAAATAAGAACCTGGCAAATTTGTTCTACAGCTGACTGTAAGTTAATTAATACCACCCTCGCTCTCTTATCATTCTTAAATACAAAGCTAATTTGGAAAGATACATGTTTCTTTGAACGTTGCGTGGTTAAAAGCATTCAGAGCTGAGCTTAATTAAGAGAGAGTGGCTCTTAGCGTGCGATCGCTGTGGCCAGAGACGGGAAACTTCATTAGATTACGGACTTTGCTCCCTCCCTTGGCTCGGCTGCTCCTGGACCAACGTGGTGGATTGACCCTGTGTGAACTCCTTACAGCTCCCTGTGGGGCCTGAGGTCGAGAGGTAAACGCTCACCAGGCACAGCGGGGGGTGGGTGAGGGGGAGAAACAGCAATATGGCTCAGTTCCCCCATGGGACAGTCTAGTGGAGGTGACCCAGGTCCCCGAAGGACAGAGTAATCACCCAGTGGCCACCTTTCCCCTAGGCTGAGCCTTCTGGTATCCTTGTAGTCACAGGCTACATAGTGAACGTGCAGTGTTTCAAGGCCTCAATGAGAGAAGTCTATGAATGTTCTTTCTGACTCCTGGGGCCAGGGTGGGGTACACAAAATCCCTAGTGGTGGGCTGGATGGTCCCCTCTTGCTGCCACTGTGTGTGGGAGGGAGCAGGCATCTGATCTTGGGGCTGGGAGCTCCTACTTGAGAAGCATGACCTCGGGCTTCTTTCCAAGCCTGCCACCCTGGTCTTCATGCCAGTGAGCAGTGGAAGGCCCTTCAGTACCATACCCTCCTCTGGCCTGGACTTGTCATGGGATATACCCTGCTGTGGGGTCTGAGGACCTGGGCAGGAGGTTATATGGACACTCTTACTGTAGCGCTTCCTAGGCCTTGGGTCCCCAAAGGAACTCCTCGTGGGTGGCTGAAGTGGGCTAGAGTGAGGACAACCATATCCACACCTGCCATGGCTCTGTGAAGGAGAAGTTGGCATTCCCATCTCCCTGCCCATTCTCTTCTACTGTTGCTGACCTGTTCCGGACGTGTAAGAAGCAAGTGTAAAGTGTAGCATGGATGAAGGAGGCAGAAAGCCAGGAGGTGAGCATGGGACCCGAGGCTTCGTAAACCCAAGACCCTGCCTGCATCCGTACCATTTCCTGGCTCAGTTGCAAGATGGAAGCAGAATGCGCCTCAGTGTTCTTGTGTCAGAAGCTCCTGGCTTCTGACACAGGCTGCTAGGGAATCAAGAAATCTCTTAGTAGACTGACTGTGTTTGGACAAACCAGCTGTCCTTGGATGGGCCGACCACCCCCATGCACACTTACCATCCATACACAGACTGGCCATCTGCCACATGCTGTGCAGCTTGGTTGGTCCTGAAAACCTAAGGAAATGAAGGAATGGAGAAAGGGCAGATATACAGACACACGTACGGAAAAGCTGGGGTCGGATGGGCTGTGCTTGCTCAGATGGAGTGGCCTGTAGAACAGCAGCCGAGAACCTCAGCATATGTATTCTGTACAGCATGGGGAACAGAGGTTAGCTAGTCTCTCTAGGGAGTCTCTGGAGGGGAGCAGTCTCAGAGTGTAGCATCGGGAGGAGGGAGCTGCGGATGCCAGTTTTTGCACACACTGGTCCATCATTTGTAAACATTAGTAACTGGGTCAGAGGAAGGCTTTGCTGCTCCTCTCCGTCTCACCCCAAGGAAGGTTTTGCCAGTTTCTATGGGCCTGAGGCAATGGGGTCCTTGTCAATAATAAACATTCGCCCAGGACGTCACTTGCTTCTTACATGTTCACTCATGGCTTCCTCTGTTTCCCACAGTCATCCATAGCCCACTGTCTCTCTGAGACTGTTTATCCCTGTGGAGACGGACTATCCACAGACACACTGGCCTTCTGGGTAGGCTGTGGGTGGGCTGGGCTCTGCAGGCTAGTCCCAGCCACTCCGTGACACTTGGCTCCGGTGGGTTAATCCTCTAGTCACACCAGGGGATCCAGTGATGCCATGAATCCCGTGCTGACAAGCGGCCTCCTGGCATCCTGTTTTGTTTACTTAGAGCGGCTTCACAGAACTGACTTTGAGGTGAGGAATGCGAGCATGTTGCTGTGTGTTTAGGGGAAGATTAATAGGTGATTTGTAACTCCTGTAATGAAAACATCACGCAGACCCAGCAATGGGCTCCGTGTTGCTAATTTTCCGGCTGCTAATTGCTAGGGCATACAGGTTCTGTTGTGAAATGAAGTGCCATCTGTAATCACAGCCACATTTATTAAAATATAATTGCTTTTCAATTTTTTTTTTTCAGAATAAGGCGTAGTTGAAACAAAGCACTGCCTTTGTGAGTGTTGATTTCCCTGGCCAGTTACAGGGGTGAGTGTGGAGCCTCCAGCTTCAAACCAGCAGGGCTTTGCTGTCAATTCATGGCGGGGGCATTCCTGGCTGTTCAGGCTCCTGCCAAGCTCTGGAGCACTCCAAGGATATAGAGTCCCTCCAAAGGGTTTAGCAAGCACAAAGACCAAACTCCAGCCTCGGTGGCCGTCCTAGAGGCTTGTCTGCAGACAGGGCAGTCCTTAGACTTTTGTCCCCCACAGAGACCTTCCTAAGCTGCACAGAGGAAGAATCCCGCACAGGGAAGCCAGCAGCCATTCACTTAGCTGAGGACACGGCCTTCAGGTGTGGTGGACATGGCGAGGCTAGAGAGCCCCTGCTTTCTCTCTGAAGATGGCTTTCAAGGCAAATTAATAAAGAAACAGGCCAGAGAGCTGGATGGTCCTCTGGGACTCAGTTTCCCTCTAAAGAAGCCTCCACTGGCAAACTTGGGGCGGGGTGTTTCTGGTGTTGCTGTTCTTAGAAGGATGTTTACTTCAATTGTCCTCCCCCTCTTTAAAAAAAAGTATGAGTCACTCTTTTATAGGACTCTTAGTTTATAATTCTGTTCCGAATCATTAACATGGGGGAAAAGGAATGTCCTTGAGAGTGAATTTTTATATTTAATTTTTAACTTTTTTGGAGTTTAAAATGTGAGTACTGTATTTACATCATTTCCGTTGCTTCTCCTCTTCCAACTCCTCCCACGTCTCTTTCCAACTTCCTCTCAAGCTTACGACCTCTCCTTTAATTATTACTGTTAAACATATATGTTACACAGGCGTATTTATGTACATGCAAACACATATGCGTGCACCTACAACCATACACAACCCATGTGTATGGCTAGCTGACCACTTGGGCTTGGACGTCATACCCGGGAGCTTTTTCCCTGGAGGACACTGTTTCTTCTCTCTCAGCAGCCATTGATGTCCTGTGGGTTTTTGTCTAGAGGTGGAGCCTGGTGAGCTGGTGAGTCCCACTCACGTTGGCATGCCAGCTGGAGCTGCGATCATGCAGGTCTTGTTCAGGTAACTGTATGTTGAGAGTCCATGGCTGCAATATCCTGGTTCCCTGGCTCTTCAAATCATTGTACTCTCTCTCCTGCAATTTCCCCTGAGCCTCAGATGCAGCGTTGATGTATAGATTTATCAGCTGGGTTGGGCATCTCATGGACACAGCCCTGAAGTGACTGACCCTTAGGGGTTCTGACTAGTTCTTGTTTGCCTTTAACTGGTACTTACGGTGGAAACTAGACATTTCTACTGTCACTGGTTAATACTCTGAGCATGTCACACGCCAAGCCAACTGGGAAGCCTCACACTCTGCATGTTCACCTGGCCCCGCCGTGGAGATGCCCCTGTTAACCCACATTCCTCTGCATGTTAACCTGGCCCTGCTGTGGGGGATGCCTGTGTGGTCAGTTTGCCTATTTCATATCCAGCTCTCAGTCATTTTATTTCACATCCCCAGTGTTCTCGAGTTTTCTGTTTTAGCCCTGACACTCCTTCCAACCCCAGCGATATTCTTATCCATCACCACCATGTACCCTGCTCTCCATTAGTGGTGCATGCACGCCCCCCGTGGGCAGTGGGTACCAACTGCAGGAGGGTGAACTTTCATCTCTGTTTCCACACCCTGCCCATTCTGGGGTACTCTCCCCTAGATGAGGACTCAGCCCTAGCTCCCCGGGAACAGAAAAAGGTCAAGACTCAGAAAAATAAGGACAGGTTGTGGTGAGGGCAGTCTCCGGCCAGGGAAGCCCAGCCTCGGAGCTATTCAGTGTCTGACCCGCTTCTCCTCTCTGTCCACATCCACAGGGCAGGAAGTGGACTGTGCCACTCAGTCAAGGGGCTCTGTAAGTGAGGTCAGACAGCCAGGAGCAGAAAGAAGTGTTCTTGGCCCTGTGTGTGGAAGGGGTCAGCTGAGGCTGTTGTGGTTGTGGTTATGATGATAGATAGCATCTTCCTAAAGAACAGGGCATCTCGGGCGATGCTGCAGGGTTTTGTACTGCATACGCTTTGTTAAACTCAGCTAATCTAAGCCAAGAAAGAGGGATATCTAGGTCCTCTTTCTCCTCCAAGGTTTTCATATACAATACTACTTTTACTCTACAGACCTCTAGCCATTTTTCCTGACCATGCCAGATGCTTTCTATATGCTTCCTCCCCCACCCCCTGCACTGTGAGCTCTTCCCAGTCCCCTGAGATTCCTGTCTCAGCACCTGGGCAGGTCCAGTTCTTGAGATCTTCTAGGCTGCATGGCTGACATATGCCAAATAGTGACAACATAACACAGAGGGGCTGCCCTTTTCCATGGGCTTCACACTGAACCTACCTCCTGACTTTGGAGCCAACAGGAAGGCACTATCTAGATTCTCAGAGAGCTGCAGCCAGAGGCATCGGGTCCAGATTCTGTAGCATCTGTCCTAGTGGGACTCTGTGCTCTCACCATGACAGACAATGTGGTCCCCTCTCCCCAGCTGCCTACACTCAGCCTCTTTAGAAGTATTATACAAATTATGAAATATGTGCAAGGTCGTAGAACATGTACATCACGTAGAAACCAGAGCTCAATAGCACTGAACCTGAATAGAAGAGGCTGTTGTGTTCTCTGGAACTGGAATAACAGTGAGCTGCCATCTGGGTGTTGGGAATTGAATCTGGGTCCTCTTGAAGGGCAGGCAGTGCTCTTAACCACTGAGCCATCTCTCTACCCCAATCTCCATCTTTTAATCAGTACATTTATATACCGACACTCAGAGTGACGAACGGTTGAGTATCTGTCATTGGTGTCATGGTCTTGCTTCCGGTTCCTATTTTCACCTTCTACTCTTTTGTAACTTTTCTAGTTTGGGACATTCTTATTACTTCATTTTGTTCTCTTTTCTTAGCACACCAGCTACATTAAAAATATTTTACAAATTTCCCCGGCTTACAGTATAGATTTATAGTTAATCTCATCCCACTTGTAAGCACATGTTTTGTGTGGGGCTGGATTCCCCACAGTCACAGAATAACTACAATTCCTCCTTCCTGTCCCTGTGTCTCTGTGGTCATTCGTTTCACTTACATACGAATGATTCTTTTTCAAGGAATTATTTTATTTAATTGACTTTTTCCAAGTTTTTTTTTCCCGAGAATTTCATACATGAGTGCTGAATTTATATAATTTCTACCTCCTCTCCCCCTACAACTCTTCCTGTGCTCTCTCAAATTCATGACCTCTTCTTCTTCAATCGTTATTGTTACACACACAAAACAAACAACCCACACGCAGGAAACCCACCTCCTGAGTCTATTTAGTGACACTTGTGTGGATGTGTATTTACTGCTGACCACTTGGGACTGAATAACCTATTGGGAATTAGTCCCTATTTAAAAAAAAAATGATTTCCCTTCTCAGCAGCCATTGATTGCTCGTAGCTCTTCATCTAACAGTGGGACCTTCTAAAATTTCCCCCATCCATGTTGGAATGTCAACCGGTATTGCCACTATGCCAGTCCTGTTTAGACAGCCACATTGTCGAGAGTCTGTGGGTGCAGCTTCCCTCTCCTGTCTAGAAGACACTGTGTATAGCAGGCTCCCCAGCTCTGACAATCTCCCCACCCCTCAGGGAAATTCTGCCACTGAGCCTTAGGTATAAGGGCTACATTGCAGACGTATCAGCTGGAGATGGGGACTCTGTGGTCACTTAATTCGCTGCATTTTGACTGGCTGTGGACCTCTATACTTGTCTCCATATGATATAAAAAGTTGTCTGATGTGGGTGAGAGCTACGCTTTCCTGTGGGGATAAGGAAAAGTATTTAGAACACACTTAGAAATTGTATTATTTTAGAAAAGTGGCGGTAGTAGGTTCTTCTTTAGGGTCTATGACCTCACCAACCACAGGGAGTTGGCTAGGCTTACAGCTCCAGGCATGAATTACCTCCTACTGAGGCAGCCTGAAGTCCAATTAGATAGCTGTTGATTAGCGACAAGATAAAGGTGTCACTATTACGCCACTGGGGATACCTTGCAGTGGCCAGCCATTGTGGTTTGTAAGCTTCACAGCTGGATAGGACAATTGATTGCTTTTCTCCCTTGGCAGCTTGTAGACCTTCTAATACCGTGAGAGCTAGTCCTCAGGGAGGAGGCCCTTCCAGGTCAGTACCTTCTCTTTTCTTCCAAGTCCTGTGTCTAAAGTGTGTGGTGTCTCCACCAGCAGTAAGATCTCACCTTCCAGCTCTGGGAGTCACCCAAGGGCAATGGCATTAGTCTGTATTGATTGAGGAGTCTCTTGGATCCTCCTGACCAAGAACTGGAATGGAGATTTTCATGTTGGGCAGCTGGGTTTTTGTTAGTCTATGGCTATTGAGGGGTCCATTACCACCGTGGTGTACTGCCGTTAAACATATATGTGTGTGCTTGTAAAATAATATGCTTTCCCTAGACTTTCTCAAACATCCTTAATGTTATTTATATCTCTTTCCTTTCTCTCCTTCAGTATTACCAGTTAATGTCTGCTCCCCATTTCCCTTTTCATTAATACTTACATTTTATTTTTAAATTATGTGTATAAGTGTGTGTCTGTCTATGGATATGTACACATGAGTTAAGGTCCTGTGGAGGCCACAAGAGGGTGTCAGATCCCCTGGAGCTGGAGTTATGGGCAGCTGTGAACCCTCTGACATGGGAGCTAGGCTCTGAACTCAAGTCCTCTGCAAGAGCAGTACCCTTTCTTAACCACTGAGCAATCTCTCCAGTCCCAATGTTTGTCTTTACCTTTGACCTTCTTTAGTTTGACAATGAAACTCTAAGTGTAAATTTTGGATGTGGGTTTTTTGTTTGTATTTATTTTGTGTGGGGTTCTCTGGGTTTCATCTGTGTTGGACATTTGATCTTAATTTGAGGGATTTCTCAGTTGTTTTATTTTTCTTCTTCTGGGATTCTCATTATACTCATCTTTTCACAATTCTTGGATATTCCTCTCTGCTCCTATCAGTTTTTATTCTCTTTGCTTCTTGGTTGGAAGGTTTCTGTTACTATGTGCTCAAGTTCAGAGCTTTCATGTCTAGTCCTCTATTAAGCCCATTGGAGGCATTCCTCACTTGTTACAGTGTTTGTATGGCTAGCATTTATTTTTGGCTGTTCCTAGAATTTCTGCCTCTTTGCCTACCTTGCTCATCCATTCTTACATGTCATTTTATCTGTCATCGTCATTTACACTTCCTGCCTGGTCTTCTCTACGCTCCTACCATAGCTCAGACTTGCCCTGTCTCTGAAAACTGTGATCTTTCTTTTTAGTATGCTTTGGAATTCTCCTCATCTCTTCTTTTGAGATAGAGTCTGATGTAGCCTATGCCACAGCCGTGTACCTAAGGATGCTCTTGAAGTCCTGATCCTCCTGACTCTGTCTTCTGAGTGCTGGGATTATAGCCATGGACCACCACACTCAGTCTCAGTGGTGCTGGGGATTGAACTCAGAGTTCTCTTCATGCTAGGCAAGCACTCTCCCAACTGAGCCATATTCTCAACCCCACTTTGTGATTTTTTTAAAAAATATTTTTATGGGAGGACTATATGTACAGGGCATAGAAGAATCTTACCCTACTGATCCTGTGATCCTGGACTGTGAACTTCACAAACGTGTGGCGGAAAAGGAAGGCCAGAGGGAACTGGAGCTGCACACTTCCTTTCCTCCTGGTAGGTTTGGCTCTCATAGAGTCCCAGCAGTCTGGCTGGGGTCAGTTTCCTCTGAAGGCCGTCTTGTTAGAGTAGAGTGCTGGTGTCCTTCAGCATGGCTTTCCCCCCACTCTGTGCCAGAGCCTTAGGGGATTTTCCACTGATATTCCCCACAAGGACTTGGTGGAGCCTTGAGAGGAAATTCACAAGTGTGTCCTCAGGACTGGGTGCTCGAGGTTTCTCTCCAAGGTTGCGCTTCCACCAATGTGTCAGTCACAGTCCAGGCTCCTAACTTGGCTCTTGCTCCCTGGAGAGAGGTCTGCTTGGGTGAGCTGTGACTTCCTGCCTGTCTCTTTGTTACCAGGACAACCGTTTCTCTGTGACCTCATCTATTCGTGGTTCTAAGAAGAATGGCTGACTTTTTAGTTTGGTCAGCCTTTTTTCTCCTGGTGCTGGGCTGGAGTGGCAACTTTCACAGGCCTGGCACACAGAACAGGACACCAGACGATGCAGGCCATTTTCCTTCCTTCCTTCCTTTTGTCTTTACTGTTATGGTTTGAACCTGGCATGCCCCAGCTCTTGCCTCATATTCTGAGCGCTTACTGCTGGCTCTGCTACTTCGGAGGGCTGTGTAGCCTTAAGGCCTAGTTAGTGGAAGTGGGTACTAGTGGTTAGCGTTGGAAAAGTATAGCCTTGCCCCTGCTTCTGGGTCTCCCTCTGCTTCCTGGTAATGTGCAGGTCTTTCCTCACCCTGACAGACCTAAAGTGTCGGAAACCATGAGCCAAAATAAAACTTCTCTCGCCTAGGTTGTTTCCATCCGGTGTTTGGTTATGGTGACGGAAAAATAGCTGATGGGTAAAACTGGTCTCAGAAAGGTGGGGTTGTGGTTAAGCCTGAAGCTGACCCGTGTGGTTCTTAGGCCTTTTGAACTGGTCTACGGGAGGATGTGGAGGAATTTGGAGATGTGGGTTTGGAAAGTACTGCTATGGTCCTGTCTCTCTTCTCCATGCTCCCCTTACTCCTGTTTGGAATGGGATGTTTATTTTGTGCCATTGTTGCAGGTAAGAGTTGGCCTTGAGTCTCAAGACACTTTGGAGTTCCCAACCATGCTGGAACCATTAAGGCCTTGGAGACTCCCTTTTTCTTGAAATTTGGAGATACTGGAATTCCTCATGAGAACTTGTCCATTTAATACCAATTCCTCATGCACTCACTTTCACACTCATCTGCCTGGGGGCTGCTTATGGAGCTCCCCCTCTCAGCCCACCTGCCTTTGGTTTTCAGGAAACAGAACTCAGCAGCAAAGTGGGCGGGTAGAGCATTTGTGTAGCATGCACAAAACAAGACCCACTGCTCCAGGAATGAATGGGCTTGATGCCAAGGTAGGAACACATGTGTGCAATGGGGACATGGCATCTGCCCGGTTGCCCACGTGTGGTGGTGTCAGGTCCCACATGCTTTCCCAGGGTTCACTTGAGAAGATGCATATGGAGTGGATCCCTGGCTGAGAATTGTGACTCTGGCCCTGGCTCAGGGATCCACACCACGGCTTCCCATAGAGAAGTGGAACAGACCATGGTCTGGGAACTTACCTTTGAGAGCTGGTACGTAGACGTATCTCCTGTGAACAGGCCCCATTCTTCTCATTGTGTCCGACTTTGCACATCTTTGTGATTCCTGTACACTCCACAGGTTTCACAAGCTCACAGAAAGGTGGCACACACTGGTGTGGAGAAAATAATACAGGTAGAGATGAGGAATGTGTCCAAGTATTTATTCTGACCTGAGTCAGTGGTTAGTGATGGTGTCTGGGGACAGGTCCTGAAACAGTTTCCCTTCCAGAAAGGGTTGGGCAGGATAATCTATAGACTTCACCTTATGCACTTATTCCATTTTATGTGAAAAGGACAGCGAGTTCACCGCATCCAACTACTGTTTTTATTATTAAATGTACCACAGCATGCATGTGACGGTTTGCAGGCCTTTTTCCATTCTAGCAAGCAAGGCTTTCTAATTCCTCACTGAGTCTTCAGTGCTGACCTGAGAGGCAGAGGATGAAGGAAGCCGAAAAAAGGGGGGGGGGAGGATGACTTTGGATCCTCCAATGAGCTTCTGAGGGTAAGACATAGTTCACAAGTGTCTCACGGAATAGGGAGATGCAGATTAACTTTTCGTTAATTCCCCTGTGAAAGCAGAAAGTAACAGCCTTCCACTGTCAGGGAGGGCCAGCGTGTCCCAGAGTCAGCTGACTGGGTCTCCACAGTGAGGGCATTGTACTAAGGACGTCACATCTCCACGGTGGTTCCTCTGATGTTAGGCCACCTATAAGGGTTGAGAAGTGAACCTACAGGACACAGGACAAGGCATGCAGGGCTCAGTTGTGATCGGGGGGTGGCCATTGGTGGTGAGCTCTGACCTCCTCAAGGACATTCCCTTGTCGCATACAACGCTTACGGCTTCAATGCTGAAAGAAGGGAGAAGCGCAGTGACGGAGGGGCAGTAAGGAGCTCTGTGTCTGGTGGAGGAGGGCTGAAGACGGGTGTCCGCCGCCTCTCACCTGCTTAGTTAAGTAGGGTTTGCATTCCGCTTCCTCCTAGCCCTTGGAGGAGCTGACTCGGTTTTGGGTACAGCCCAAGGCTCAGAGTAGCACTGTCCCTCAAGATCCTAGCTGATGTGGGGCTTGGGGTCTCGCAGACAACCTTGATCCCTAGACTCTGTATCAAAAGGGCTTGTGTTCCCCCACAGTGCCAGGTGGGGGCTGTCTTTGCCAAGGGCAGCCCTGCCACCCTCTACCATCCTTTCCACTTTGTTCCTTGGTCATTGGATAATGACCTTCCCACGAGCAGGACCCCCGCCCCTCCTCTTGGTGTCTCCATCAATCATTCCTCTCCCTATGGACGAGGAAACCAAGGTTCAGGGGAGTTGCCTAAGGTCACCTGCTAATTAGTGGCAGAGACATGGGGCAAGTTCCATTACGACACTGCGCCCACACAGCGTGAGAAGCGAGCACACAACTGTGGCCGTAATTGGGATGTACATGCCAAGGGCCTGTGCCTGCTGCCGGAGCAGATCAAATATCTCTCAGATGTTTACACTCTCACCCACCAGCTTCTCCCTCCCCAGCAAGGCTCAGGTTCCCTCTAAGTGCTTATGTTTATTTATTTTATGGGGGCCAGCTCCGCCCCTTCTGCCTTGTGAGCCTCTGTTGTTATTGGTGGTGGTGGTGGTGGTGGTGGAGGTGGTGTTGTGTGTGTATGTGTGTGTGTGTGTGTATGTGTGTGTGTGTGTGTGTGTGTGTTTCAGCTCTTTCAGCAGTTCACTGGCAGCCCCTCCTGGGCGGCTCGGCTGGGGTTTTCAGAGCCTGCCACTGCTCAGATCCTGACTGAGGCTGCTCTCGCCCTCAGTGCTCCCTCTGGTACCTGAGGCTGCCAGTGATTTCCTGCCAATGCTGGTCTGGGCCAGACCCTTCTGGAGCCAGCTGGGGCCTCCGCCCTGTGCTCCACCAACAGAGCTCCTTTGTGCCCTGAGCCAGCCCTGGGCCTGTGGATGGAGGCCTCTGGCGGCTTGCCAAGGCATGGGAAACCCAAACCACCAGGTTCTGGGAGGCACGAGATGAAAGACGGGCCTGTGGCTTCTGGGAGGAAGAGAGGAGCCCAGCTCATGGTGAGCCTGAGAGTGCCTCCACACACCAGTGCTCTGCGCCTCAAACACCCGCCCCGTTCCTTCACGCCATGCTGTGAAACGTGAGCCTTTACTGCCCTCCTGCTCGGCTAGGCATGGCCTTTGTGGTGCTGGATGGAAACCTTCTGCACACCCTAGGTTCCTCATGAATGAGTGGGTGAGGGTGTGCTGGGTCCAGGTGCCGAGAGCAGAGGCCAAAGCCAGGTAGAGGGAACACCAGCAAGCCACGGGGCCTCCCGCTGATCATAACCAAAACCAGGAGCGCACTCACTTCCCAGGAAGTGACTGTGTCCCACTGCGCCTCCAGTCCCCCATACTCAAACGGATTCACTCTGTGATTGATAAAATTGGCAGCCATTCTGAGGTTGCCTGTGGCCTCAACGGGAGTACGTTAGACAAACAGACCCCTTTCTCTTTGTCCACTTTGTCAGTAAATGTAATTTGCAAGGCCCTGTCTGGCAGGTCCTTCCCAGAGCAGGATTAAATATGCAGATTTATTAGGGAAACACCTGTGGGACAGACAAGGTTGGGGCACGAGGCCAAGCCAAGCCCCACTGAGTGGAAGGGCCGGGGAACGTGGAGCCACCATGTCCTTAAGGAGGGATTCATCTAGACCCCAGTCACCTGTTCTGTGCAAACACAGGTAGACCATGGGGCCTGCTGGAGCCCTGGGCCTGGGACCTCCCCCTCATGCTTCCTGGATCTTAGCTGGGTGCTTTGAATTACTCCACTTTCTCCCAGACAGGACTGGGGTGAGGTCCCTGGGCTCTTTTTGTTGTTTTTAGAAACAGCGTCTCCACACTCATATCCCTGGCTAGCCTAGAACTCATGGAGATCCTCCTGCTTCATACCTGCTTACAGGTATGAGCCATTACTTGTTGCAGATAGGTGATTTAGAAGCAACGATTGTTCACTGTGCATTCTAGAAGCAAGTGAAAACAGGGGGGGGGGGAGGAAAAAGTGACCACATGTCTTACAGCATCTGAAAAATAAAACGAGCCAGTTTCGGAATGAGTGTGCCCTCCCTAGGTTCAGTCAGGTAGGGAATGCCCTTCTTGAGGCCTCTGGAGCAGGTCACCTTTAGAAAGCCACACAAAGGAGAGGAAGCAGCTCCTTCTAGCATGCGCTATGTTGGCTGAGCATGTGATCCAGGCAGAGGTAGGTAGGTATGCACATTCAGCTCCGCTGCCACCGAATAGACCCAGGAACAGGAAGACATCCACGGACATCATATCCCAGACTCTCCGTGGTTCTGGAGACTATAGAAGCCCAAGGTCTTGAGATCACAGGCTTGGTGACTTCTCTGAACAGTAGACAGCAGGAGCCATCCAGCTAGAGCTCCCAGAGAAGAAAGGATGGCAGCCGCTGTGTGGCCGGAAAAAGGCCGATTGGTCGAGGGATGTGCTCACAGGAAGGAGTATGGGAGGACTCTGAGGGTGAGTCACCTCGAGATGCCAAAACGGTGCCAGCCGAGCTTGGCACAGATCCAGGGTACATCAGCATACAATGAGGACTACCTGCCTGCCAGTCGCTGGCTGTGTCACAACGATGGCTCCTGCTGTGTGGTAAGAAAAGGGCGGCAGGAGCCAGGGGAACACGAGACTCATTAGGATCAGGAGGCAGTGGGAATCAAGAGTGGTAGGAGCGGTCAACCAGATGTCCCAGCTTTCCCGGGGCTGGGGGCGTCCCTGGCAGGCTCACAGGACAGTCCCCAGCAAATCCAAATGGCGGCTCACCCTCCCTGGTGACTGGACCCCGAAACAATGACAGAAGCAGAAACAAGGGACAGCTTGAGGAACTTGGATCTGCCAGCTCAGAATGGCCAGGAGTGAGCATCCAGGGCAAAGGGGAGGGCACAGCCGGGGCTGGGCGCCAGCTGGAGGGGGCTCAGGGCTCAGGACTCACTGCCCCAGGCCAGGTCCTACCGGGTGGCCACTGCTCCTGTGTGACAATCTTCTTTGACACTTTGTATCAGCAAACATCAGCAGTTGATACAGGAAAGCACCCAGGTTTTAGGAAGGCTGGACAGGGGTGATCCCAACGACAACATTGCACCTAGACACATCTTATCCCACTTAGGGGCACAAGAGCAACTCCAACGACCAGACGCTTCCTTCCATCCGTGGAGCAGGGTGTGTCCTTGAACTGCTGGCCAGGTATGAGTCACATAGGACTGATGCACACAGGTCCAAGAGACACTAACAGTTGCCCGCCTCCTCTGAATGTCAGGACCTCCTGGACCAAAATTGCCCTTCCAGATAGAACCTACACACTGCTTAGCCAGCTGAGGACCAGGGCCTGAGCTGGCCGGATTATTCTTCCTAAAGAAAGAAAACGAAGCATCTTTGCCCTTTTATTTTTCCACGGCTCTGAAGTGAGACTGATATTCCAGCTTCAGACAGGCCCTTCAGTCTTCCAGGAGAGCCCTGAGAATACCTCAGACGCATCTTCTGGTGGGTCACCTCCTATATCCTAGAGAAAAAGACATGAAAATGGGCTCAGGATCAGCAAAATCCCACGGTTCGGGGGTCCGTTTATCAAAGCCCACATCATTTACCTCCTCTCCCCATCATGCCTCCGCCCCCCAAAGTCCAAGCCCCCTGCCTTTGGCCTCCCGTACCTAACTCTTGTTTCCAAGCATGCTCCCAGCCCTCTATTTCCAGCACCCTGCCTCCACTTTCCCATCCACAGCTGCTTGCTCTCCTCTTCTGCTCCAGGCCTGTGACCAACTTCCTCTGCACACTATAGCAGGTGGATTTTCTTGGCATCTCACTCGCACCGTGTTCTTCTTCTGCCCGTGTCTTTGCAGAGGCCAGATACCAGCTTCTCCCTGTCCCCTCTGTCCTCTACCTTTACCCCATTCACATCCCTGGGTCTCAAGAGCTTGGTGGTGGGCAGGGTCTGGCTGCCCCCTTCCCCGGGCTACACGGGGACCCTTTTGCGTTGCCTCTGGCCTCTTGCACTGCTGTGGGTCCTCTTGCCATCCTTTACAGGCTTATGCGCTTGCCTTTATTTCCTTACACATCCTTAGGTGTCTGAAGTGAGGGCTGTGTCTCACTGTCCTCCTTTCAGGGGTCCCTACACTGGGGTGACTCAGAACCATAACCTGCGGTGGTTTACCTTGGTGAGGGCCAGCGCAGGTGGAGCGAGAGCACTAGGCCGGAAGAATTTACTTGTCCTGGATTTCCTGTTGGAGTAGCTCTAATGGGTTTGGGGGGAGGTGGTCCACGTGCATTGTGCTCTTCAGTCCGGCAGGTGTCATCTAGATTTGGCTATGTTCCTGCTGTGGGGGGAGAAGAACTCTGCTCTCGGCCGAAAGGTCGACATTTTCCTTCTGCTGTTCGATCCCTGGTGTTGTGCGTTACACTGAGCAGGTGCTGAGATGGTGAAGACAGTCTTGTCCTCGAGGAGAGAAGAAAGGATGCTTCAGGAGACGCAGCGACAGGTGTAGCAGAACACGTCATCTCAGATGCGCTTTATCACATGGACACAGTTTACACCAGATCGCTGTCAAGGTTGCTGTCAGGGAGTTACCACTGGCTGATTTAGGGGTTCATATCCCCAGTTCTTGGTGGCTGTTGGTTCTTTCGTACAATGTGTTTTGGGCCCCTGATGAGATGAGTTTGGGGCTCCTCGGAGACATCTGTAATGCCGTACATTAATGGTCATCACTGGGAAGAGGTTGCTTCATCTCGTAAGTAGAGGTCAGGGATGCTGAGACAGCACGTTTCCCTGTAGCTGTTGTTCTATGGAATCAGTCCGGGGTGGCAGAAGGATACCCAAAATGCCACACTCCTTACTACAGTGACCCCTCAGCAGGTGACTATGCCAGCTTCCTGGTCCAGTGTCAGCAGTACTAGTCAAAGACCCCCAGGCTTGAGGTTTTGACTTTAGGCAGGCGACCACCCAGTCATAAGGCAGCGTCTAACCCCTGTAGGATTCCAGCAGAATGCCAATGGCTTCGTGGAAATGCACTCACACATGCCAACAAGCCATATACACATGCACACACAAAGAAGCACACATATGTAGATCATTCTGAACTGGAGTCTCTCTCTCTCTCTCTCTCTCTCTCTCTCT